AAAATTCCTGCCCGCTGCACTGACAACATTTACCCAAATTAGCCACTAAACACAGAAATTAAGAAAACAAAAAAGCCAGAGAGAGACCAACACCATTAAGCCAGTTAATTGGGCGCAGCCGAGAAGGAAATCCAACGCCATATTAGAGCCCATGATGGCGATGATGGTGCCAATTATGCATACACATGGGCTCCACAGTGGCTCCACTGGTGGGTTGGGTGAGCGCCAGCGACGAGGGCGGCGAGGGTCATCTGCACGTGCGGCCCACAACGTGGGGCAGCTGCAAAATTCAATTTGGCTATGCGCAAAAAATTAGCAACAATTTCCTAAAAATACAAAACTTAGGGGCTGGGGCATGCCCCACAGACACCGCCACCAAAGGCAGAAACAACAAACAAAAGCGACAAAAGGCACGCAATATAATTGAGTGGAGGATGTGGGTGCGAATGAGAGGGCAGAGGCTCGGCGAAAGAGACAGCAGGCCCAGAAAGAGTGTGACGGCACGCGCCATGGAAATGGCTAGAAAATGCATACCTTGTTAACGCCCAATGGATACTATTATGGTTTTTTAGAAAAAACATTTTTAAAATATATTAAAAAATTTTAAATATATAAGTATAAGCCTTTTTTAAACTCTGTCTTGTTTTTTCAAAAATTGTATTTCTAAAAGAAGCGCATTCTCTAGTCTTGACCGTTTATTTTGGCCAACTCATTTATCCTTTCATTACTCGGTTCTGGCCACTGCTGGCCGGCCAATTCCAATTGCAATTGCAATTCTGCTTTTGTTTTAAAAACTGTTTTCAGTTTCTGCCATTTGTTGCTGCCGTTACAGTTTCCAACATTTGTTAACGAATTTGTTTGCTTGTTGAACATTCAGAGCGTTCCACAGTGTGTGTTTTTATTTTTTTTTATTTTTGCAAATGACGTGGCAGCCTGCCGAGCAAAGGCTTCGCCAGGCACGCACATCCCACCCACTCACCCATTCCGTGCCTCGCCCGCTGCCTGTGCAACGCGTTTAAAAAACAATCAATTTTAATTTCAATTTAAATTAGTTGCCACTGCCTCTCCCTTCAGCCTCGGATGCCACTGCAACATTAAATTATTTTTGCTCATTTGTGCCGCTGCCCTATTGTTTAATTTTATTTAAAATTGTTGGAATTCTAACCGAATTGCGAAAGTTTTAAATTCATTAATATTTGAAATGCCCATTATGTGGCATAGTTTGGCAATAAAAACAAATGCAACTCTGTATGCATTTGAAATGCGATTTCATTTCTAACATTGTTTTGTTTTAGCGGAATTACTAAGCATAATTAAATAAAAAAGAGCTGCCATTTTATGTTTCTGAATTTATAATTTCCCATGTGCTTGTTGCAAAAAGTTAAGCCTGAAAAACCTGGCCGTTTCGGCCCTAATTCGATTCGAGGATCAAGTGTTAAGCTTGGCCCGAAAACCCAAATCAATCTCACGCACGCACTGGGCGACTGCCAGATACAAATGTATCTGCCGCTGGCGCTAAACTACTTAACAGCAAATTTTGCGTAATTTACGTTCTAACCGAGGAGAACAGATGGCATTCCAAGGAGCAGAAGGAGCAGCCGGCACACCCGGTTCATGTATCTGTGTGTTCGGGTATCTCGGTCTTGGGGTATCCGAGGGATACTCGTACAATCGACAGGCTTGTTGCGGCTGCAGCCACAAACATGTGTTCCCTTGAGCAAGAGGAAACTTTCGGAAGGCGGTCTTTCGGTTTGGGGATAAATTATAGGGTGCCTCCTACCCGACAGTGTGTATCTTTGTATCCGCACATCCACATCCTCCGTCCTTAGTCCACATTTGCGTATCTGCGGTTGCGTGGTCTTGGCCTGTATGTAGTCTGTGTAGCCTCGGAGTCGAATCAAAGCATTTAATGGCGCTTTTAATCTTGTTAATCGCCCCTTCTTGGCCGGGCTGAGATTTTCAGATAGTTTCGACCGCTTCTGGGGGGCGTGGATTGAGAAAATTGCCACGCAACGGACGGATATTCGTAGTTAAGTTGTGATAAGCCCTAAAGGTTTAGCGCTGACCGACCGTCCGACAAAGAAATTCCCAAATTCCGAATTTGTTGCATACTTGCGGGCGTCTTTAATCAATCCCCATAAAAAGGAGACTCTTTAATTCTGGGGTACTTTGGACAGAAGGAAACTTGAGTTAATACCAGGACGAACGCCAGGGGAATAAAACGAAATCGTTTTATCCACTTTAGCGTCCGTCAAGGACAATTTTGACATGTTCAAATCCTTTTTACTGAGAGAGACAGAGTCCCCTTTCGCGCAGAATGAATATTATTTCTTTATGCAAATTTTCTCCAAGCTCCGAGCTGCCACTTGTTGGGTGCCAAAGGCAGGGGCACTCTGGGAGGGCCCTGCCCCTCAGAACCTACCGCCTTGGTCGCCTCTTTTGCCCATTTGCGTGATATTTTGTTGAGCAAGACAAATGATTTCCATTTAATTTATTTTCACTGCTCCGTCCGCCCGGCCCAACCCGGCCCGGCTCCGAGGCTCGTGGCGGGAAAAGGATTTAGCTGAATAAATTATAGGTTGGAATTGTTATATCTAAGATGGTGGGGTGTTCGGGGATTGCCGAAGACAAGTGCAAATAAAATAAGGGCCAAGCCTCTGACAAATGTTGGCCAAAATCGAGGAAACTGTGTGCAGCCAGCGATACTCCCCAAAATGTATTACTACTTTCTGCTCTTCCCGGTCTTTTTCAACTTTCATTTATGGGAGATACTTTAAGAAACAGTTTCCAACTAAATGGGGACGAAATAAGCGATAAACTTTGACTTCATTCCTCATATACCTTTTCTTGTCCATTTTTTTTGCCAGCCACTCTTTAAGCCCGTAAATCTGCCTGGCTGCATTAATTAGCCTGCAGAGAGAACTTTGGCCATAGCTGGTATTTGGAGCTTAGGCAAACACGGCCAGCTGGTCACCTCCACCTGGAGTCTGCCCCTCCAGACACACGTGGCGGCGAATCACCGTCCGCTTGCCTGCCCTCTCACTGCACCGGGCCAGTGAAATTTCACACTTTGTCGCTTTGCATATGGGCACGTAAGTGGCAGTTGGCAGCATGAGGCATGAGGCATGGGGCATGGAGCATGTAGCACAGCGAAGGGGAGAGCCGAAGAGGAGCGGATATGGCAAGGGCACTGGAGGCGATTACAAACGCGCCGACTTGTAAATGGCAAGCAACGTGCTGGCTGGGTGCGACTTTGGCGCTGGATTTGGCTTTCGGTTCTGGATGGGAGTCTGGTTCTGAATCTGAATCTGGATCTGGCATCGCGTGCCGGTCTCGCGATAATGAAACCGAAAGGCAGTCTGCGAACCATGAGCTTTGAGTTCTGAAAAAGTAGCAACCTGGCACTGAGGCAGGAATGGGATGTCCTCGAAAGGAAAGTTGCCAAAAAAGAGGAGGAAGACATTAAACTTTAAAACATGTTTATTAAACATTAAAGCCCTAAAAATATCAAGTCCATTGGGAAGTTATTAATTCATTAGACAGGTTAGCAAGACTCCTGAATTACTATCCTGAACCATTCTTTGATTAAATCTAAAATAAATGTAGTTGTCGCTTCCATAAAAATCACACTCTTTACAAAAAATAAAAAATGAAATTGGAACCCAACTCAACCGGATGCTGTAATCGGTTTTGCAATCGTTCTGCCCTTTCAAACCGGCCGGGACTAATCAAGTGCGAATCCTTTTGGCCAACTGGAATGTTTCTGACTCCTTTGGCGTGCTGCCTGCCATCCATAAGGCGGCGGGGACGATGGGAGCACGGCAGTGAAGCTAGCGATGCGTGTAACTTTTTCAATTAATTTGGCTAAGCTTGAGAGAAGTTTTGAGTTGTGCCTTCTGGGTTCCGAGCTGAGCTTGGCTGAGACATGGATATCCTCCTGCTCCTGCTCCTGCTGATGCTGCTGCGACCGAACTCCGGCTCTTCTATTTACGGCTGAGTTATTTCAAAAATGTTTTGCATATCAGATTGAGTCTCTGGATCTCTCTGGCGTGGTGGTATAAGCTCGAACCATAGTCGCAGCATGGCAGCCTCGGGGCGGCACTTAAACGCCTTCGTTTTAATTTAATAAGAGCTTGCCAGGCGAGCTGATTCAACTGGTAACTGGTAACTGGTAGCTGCTGCTCTGCATCCCAAATGAATCGGGTGGAATAAAAAAAGAGTCCGCGATAGCTCCACCACCGCCTCCGCCTCGGCCGCAGCCTCCGCGAGCCAACTCTGACTTCGCTGCATGTCAAATTTGAATTTAGCTGCATTTTTACAACTGTTGCAAAGTCTCTTTCAACTTGAGCTTGAGCTCCGGAATCTACCGCTGGCTGGCTGCTGGATGGCTAACCCACTCCCCACTGGTTGTGGCAATCGCATGTGAGCCAACTCAGACAGTTGGCAATTTGCATAAATTTAGATTAGTGACATCTGACGTGAGTCTCTGATATGCAGCATGAAAATGGTATTAAGTGGAGGGATCTCTCCTGCCACTGGATGGGTCGTCGTTCGGGGGCGATTGCCACCTCCTAATTCTCCGGCCAGATAACCCACCGACGCCGACACCGACTCCAACGACTTCTGCTCTCCACTGACTCTGCGACAATGGGATATGATTTATGGAGTGCACTCCACAGCCTCCCCCCCAAGACAAAGACGGGGCAGCAGCTCAAGTGGAAAATTAATCTCGTGCAAGCTCATTATGAGCATTAGTTTCGACTGTTTGTTAATTGTCGCCAAAATGCCAAGCTGGGAAACTGGCAAACTGGCAAACGGGAAGCGGAAAACGGGAAACAGGCTGCCAGCAGGTTCGGCTTCAGGAAGCCGGCGTAAGCTGCATATGGAATTGGCTGTCATATTTCAATCAAACTTGAGCCGACACAAAGCTAACCTAATTGCGATCAGTAATGGGGTGGCAATTGCGGCTTTCGGGGTTGCAACTAGCAAGCTGAGCAATAAACTCCAAGATTTAATTAAGAAATCCTATTTAGAAAGAGCCATTAAATGTACAAGATTATAAATAGAATCGACAAATTTGTAGTTCGAAATCATAGCCAAGGTAAATCTATACTAATTTTTAAAAAAAGTATCCAAAAAATTATTCACTAATACCTTACACTAAGTTCCCCGTCTGATTCCGTTCGTCGGTATTTGCGATGCCTTACGTGCTCCACTGATTTGAGGAATATCTGCGGAGTAAAATTGGGGTCGAAGTAGTCGTGCCCCATGCACCAGTCGTAGCCCACAGCATAGGCGAACATATCGCCCTTCCCGTTGAAGGTGCACTTAGTGAGGGACATGTCGGATACGGATCTCTGCTTGATCAGGCGCCGGTTGTTGTAGTCCCAGAATTTATACTGGCCGTTCGATCCCGCCGTGGCTAAGACGTGAGTCCCGGGCTGGAAGCTGAGGTCGTTGACCGCGAACACGTCATTTTTTTCGTTGTGATCGACGTCCACGTGGCACTTCATCATGAAATCCCTGTTTTGGCTATTTAACAGGTTCTGGAAACTCACCCGGCCGTCGATTCGGCTCAGGGCCCATCCCATCCCGCCTTCGTCTTGACCAGCGTTGTAGATGGCCAGTGAACGCACTTGGTTGCTCAGAGTACCGCAGCGCGGCACCTTGAACCGACCCTTCTCTACGGGACCGTTCTCCAGGGAGATGGCTATGACTGAGCTGTCGGCGCAGGCCACCACCGCCAGAGGGTGGCGCACATCCGCCGCATAGCTACGCTCCGGAAGTTGAAGGCTGGCGACCATCGCCGACATCCGAGGATCCCAAAACTGCAACAGATAATGGCTACATAACTGATTCTAGGCACAGCAGCCAGCTTACCTTGACCGTCTTGTCCCAGGAGGTGGTCATCAGGTAGGAGGACCCCGATCCCGTCACCGAGTGGCAGCTACGCACTCCCTTACTGTGGCGGCCCAGCTGCAGCACCTTGTCCGTCATCAGATCCCACGTCACGACATTCCCCTCGCAGTCGCCCACGTGGATCCCCGTGCCATCGTCGCTCCAGGACGTGTCCAGAGGAGGACTATTCAGCTTCGTCATGGCCTTTGGAACGGCCTCGCACTTTTCCTGATCGATGCGCCAAAATCGAACCGTCCCGTCCCAGCTAGCAGCTGACAGTCCCAGAAAGGAACAGGAGGGCCCGGAGAACTCCAGAGCACTCACGGAGTCCGTGGGCGCCCCGCCGAGTTCGTAGTCTTTGACCTCATCGCCGAACTTCTTGGACCTCGTGGAGAGCCGAAAGCCGCCGCCGTCGCTGAAAGGATTGAAGCCTTTGTAGATATTATTCATTACAATTTTGTAAAATATATTATACAAAAAAATTTGAGTTTTTTATAAAAAATATGTTGTGATGAGTAGTCTGTGTGTTCGGAATTTCATATTACCCAGTGGTTGCTGTGGTGCGGATTCTAGTTCACATCTCTCATGGCTTAATTGTTTGAAAAACCTCAGCATTTGGTGCGTGGGATTATCAAGTGTGTATGCTGATTCCAAAACTAACCCAGTCGTGTTTTCAAATCCCACCCACTCTGCAAAATAAAAGCCCTCCAACCGTTTGTCTGTCCTTTGTTTTCGGGGATTTTGTGGGGCAGCTGGAGCACTCGCAGCTCGCCGAACAATGAACGAAAAATAAAAAATAAAAGCGGGGAACCGACACAATTCCCCAGCCAATATGCGAACGAGAATTTCAATAAAATGAACAGCAAACCAAACAGTTGAAGGTCCTTGTTGGCACACATACAGACACACACATATACAGACACGGCAAGGACGTGCAATCCCAGCGAAACGTGCAAATATTTTAACTAAAATGGCGAGTGCGAGTGCGAGTTACTTTTATCTGCTTTGGCGCAAAAATACGAATCAGTGTGTGTCTGTGTGCGTGTAACCAACATGCCACGCCCCGTGCCCCATGCCTCCCTCTACCCACAGACACACACAAACACACACGAGAGTACTGGCGCTGTTTTTCAGTCAACATAATTTAACTACTTTTATGGGCAAAGTAATACGCCGCTAGTGGCGGGAGTGTGGGGCATGCCCCACAAGCCACCCAGTCTCTGATGTTTGCCCCACGTGTTTCAGGTTTAAATTCGAGCATTTTCTTTCATCTCACGCGTCTCGTGTGCAACATTCACAATGTATTTGGCCCAGCATGTGCTTCGGCCTCCCAGCCACCCAGCCAACCTCGCTGGAAAGCTCTCGCCGGAGTTTATTGGCTTCGCAGCATACTTTGAAATTTACCGAGTTTCTCATGTAATGCCTTGCTATATTGAAATTAATTACAAACAAAGGATGCTCCTTCGGGCCGGGCTAGGAGGAAACAGTATGCCATGGCTGCCACTCCACCAAGCCGCCGACGGGCTCTAATTTCTGATGTTTGTCTCACATCAAATAAAGTCCTGCTGCAATGAGACACAAAAAAAATTGCACAAATTATGGAGGGGCAGGGGGTGAACTATTTAAATTGAATTTTTTGCAATTTAACGCTCAACTTATTTACTCATTTGGCCGTAATTGTTATTTTGATAATAGCCCGGAGAGGGCTCTTTTTTTTCAGCAAACTCTTTCATCAATTACGAGCAAGTCGCGTGATAAAATAAAACAAATGCCACCGGGATTAATAAAAAGCTGATAATTAAATTCCCAAATGTACAGCGTAATTCAGTTCAAGCTTATTTACACTTAATAAATATTATATTATGGCGAACAATAAAAAGCTAATGGAAATTAAAAATGTCAAGGGCTAGTGACAACTCACGGCAACTCATTGCTATTTCTGCATATTTGAGAACCGTAATCAAGAATCAAGGATTTGGATTAGCAAATTAATAGGAGGCTTATATTAATTAAATCACAATATTTATTGACTTTTTGTTTGTTTTATTTTATGCCCTTCACTCGATGCGAAAATCAATTACAAATCATCGTTTCCAATCAAATTTCAAACAAAATCGAACACCAACACTGAATGTGAAACTGTGTAATTAAAAATGCTTTTGGAAAACCTGGCAAAGGCAAAGGGAGTTATGCAAACAATTTGGCAAGAAAAACAATCCCTTTTCGGCCGGGCTAATTGCATAAGCGGAGCATAGAACAGAGAACAGAGAAATGCATTTGTTTGCCCAACTCTGATGAAGTCGAACACAAGTCGGGTGGCCCGCCCTCGCTCAAGGCCGCTGACAAAAGCCAACACAGACTGTCGGCAGAGTCAACAGCGTCGACGAAGAAAGTTGAGAAATATTCCGGAGAATGTACAATATAATATAAAATATATACGCAGGAAAAACAATATTCGCATATTTGAACATTACAAATACAAGGGAGGAGGACCCTGTCTCCGTCAAGACAATTAGAAGAGCTCCCCGTTGAAGAGGATCTTCCAGCCAGAAGTTGCTCCTTCCCGCACCGGCACCCTGGGCACATTCGCTTCAAATTTGATTTGGCCCAGACAGAGTGAAAGAAATTGTTGTATTTCATGGCTTCGTTATCTTTTTTCGCCCTTTGTTCGCCAGAGGATGTCTAGCCAGATGCTAATGAAATTTGCGCCGTTTTATGGCGCCGAAAATTGTCCTGCCGCGGGAATCGGGAGTATAAATCGGTGCCGGGATTTTGTTGCGCGTTGAAGGCATCTTAACTAAAACAAAACATTGAAATTCAAGCCGAGGCATCTGCAAAGAGAACAGAATTTAAGTTGGGAAACTCGAAGAACTCGTTCAGGTTAGTCAACTTACATTCCATCGCATCCTTTAGGGCTGACTTTATCCGAAGGCGTCAACTGCGGCGAAATGGAAGTGCGGTTGAAATTAAAAAGGAATTCCACCAAATTGCTATTGAAGCCCGGCGAAGCGGAGGACCAAAAGGACCAGAGGACCGGCTCTGGAAGCGTTTGCGTGGCTTTTGCTCCTGCGGTTTATTTGGGCAAAGTGCCAGTTCGCAGCAGATCCCCACAGTTGCTACTCAACCAGTCGGCAACGGAAGGCGCCAAAACCGGGCCAAATGCAGTTAAAACAGGGGGGGAGTGGGCATGAGTGGGCGGCGAACCGAAGGTTGTGACAGTTTAATTGGGTTAGCAGCGTCAACGGCCTGTCCACGGCTGGATCATTGGCACTGACACGGGCGCCGAGTCCCTGTAACTGGTCCACTGGTCGCTTTGGATTACTTTGCAATTAAACCCAAATGCAAAAACCAAACGCTGGCCCGTACTTTAATTCCTCCTCTTTGAGTTCCTCGAATTGAATTCAAAGCCAGCTCGATTAATCCTTTTTTTTGTTGGGACATGCGAGTGTGTTTTTGAATCGATTGTTGCTCTTTGGCTGGCCTTGGAGAGTGGCCCGGTAATGACAGTTTGGGTGGCTCCTTGAAATGTCCTTTCAGTCTATCCCGGAGGTGTGCATAAGCTCTTGTTTGCTGGCCAAATTTTCCAAAACATTTCACTTGCCGGTTTAAACTTTTAAGCCCCGCGTCAGGGTGCTTATGTTGTTTGCATTTTGTTGAAACAAAAAATTAAATAACATCTCCCCGCACTCACACGCCGCACGCCGCATGCCACACGCCCCGCCTCGAGGGGCGGTAAGTGCTATTATTTGTTATTTGGTAAATGCAACATGCGCCCCCCTCGACACCCGTGGACCAACCAGAACCACAATGGCGACAACAACACCAAGAACACTGCAAATTGCAATATGTGGCAGGACCCGGGACTCTGGAAAGGGAACTAGGACGTGGCGAGGCGGGGACATGGGAGCTGCATCCAGGCGTGGCATCATAATTAATTCAAATTTAAATTTCCTTTTGGCGCATTGCACGCGCCATTTTACACAGGAGGGGGCGGTGGTGTGAAGGGCGGACTGTGGGGGCTGTGTCACGCCCACATGTGTGGCATGTTACGGCATCGAGGTTCCAGCATAATAAACTGTTTAAATATTTAGTCGAAACGAGTTTTTAATACTCGTTGGAGCTTTTAGCAGCTGCCAGTGGTGGGTTGTGAAAAAAAATGGTCAGAGGGCTCAAGTCCGGGTCACAAGTCCGGCCCAAAAGGCTGGACGAGAATAGAAAGCAGAGGTGAAAGGAGAGCAGCTTCCGCCAGGGTCCTTTATAATCACAGATGTCCGCCGAAAAACTGCCCAAGAAGGCCAAGAGGGCTGCTTATTAATTTATAATTATTAAAAACTGGTTGGCCCTTTTTTTTTAAGGGTTTACATTCTTAAATTATGAATATTTCTGGAAGGTATAAACTACATTTTGAATTGTGATATTAAACAGTAAATGATTTTAAATGAAATTCTCTCAAAAAGGAGCTGGTAATGGTAATGGCATTCATGGAAATCTTAATTTGCATTTCAGTTCCTCAGCTCTAATATCTGTAGCTGTCTGCTGGCAAAAACCATCAAATAATATTCAGTCGAAACTAATTTGGTGTTCATGAACTCGGCCCGGCCTCTTCTACCTCCTCCGCTGCCATTATGCCATTTGTGAGCACTTTCCGATTGCCGGAGCAGAAAAACCCAAAAGCGCGGCAGCAAAATTGCGAAACTCAAGGAAATATATTCACGCTGGAAAATACAACGTTTATTTGCTTGTGCAATTAAAGCGGAGTGTGGGATGGGGCTTGCCACGGGATGGGGCGGCTTATCAGCGGAAGGGGGCACCTGTCATTTTGCTGAGTGCTGGCATGCGATCTCCTCGAGGTGCGAAATGTGGCACGCATCGCGGAGCGAAACCTGTCTAATGCATTTTTCGTTGCATTTTTTCATTATTTATGACCTGCGTAGACGAACAGCTGCCTTGCCACTCTGACCCTGCGGCATAGTTTCGCTAATAAATTGCAAATTCCATTATCAGCCGACCAGCAACTAATTTCTCAATCAACAGCCTCCAAATAATGACAAACTGGTAAGTCTTTTTTTATATAATTATATAATTTTTGCAAAATCAAAATAATAATATTAATTACACGTTAAATTTTCAGAAATTAAATGACTCCATGGATAACTAACTGTGAAAAATTAAATGGAAAATTCAAACATATATCTATGACCTCGGGTTCGGATGAATTGCGCTCAGCTGCGCCCGGAGAATGGCCTCAGTAACCGCCGCCAATCATTCAAGTCCGTCAGCTAGCCAGTCAGTCGGCATTCCATCAGGATGCATCTTGCGGGCACACGGCCCCCCCAACTGGGTCGTTGTCGGTTGATTTTCGCTAAAAATGCTCTCGGTTTTGCGCAAAATGCATTTTCGCCGGCAAATGACGCGTGCCTCTTCTGTCTGACAGCCATTGTTGTTTCAGTTGCAACCGGGTATGGGGAAGGAAGGGCACCAGGGACAGCACCCAACTCAACTAGCATTCAAACTGACAGCCGGCAAAACCCTAATTGAAATACGGCTAAGGAATGGGTTTCTGCCGGAGTGCATTTGGCAAAATTAGAAAATAAGAATGGACCTATTTGCGTGTGGAGGGATGTAGGGATAGGGTGAGGGAGGTCTGAGCTGGAAAAGCACGCGAAGAGCTGATTAATGCAAGCTTTCTGCGGAGAAATCCAACTTACATATTGACTTTAGAGCTACTCGGTATGGTTCTGTAAGTCGACGTGCTTTTTCATGTTGTTTACGGAGAAGTTGTCCTCCTTGGAGATGTCTTCGAACAGGTCCCAGACACACTCCTCAGCAACCTGCCGCTGGTAGCACTTGAGGAGCTGGCGACCTCCGCTGAGAAGGGTAAATGCGCTGGGAAACTCGATCAGGACTATGGCATTTAGAAACTGGGCCATGTTTACAATGCGCTGCAAGTAGCTGTGGCATATCCATTGCTTGAATCGGAAGACAGGAGGAATAATCAATACCCGAGGAGGATAAGCTGATTCGAATAGAAAACTTACAGGTTCATTGGGCTCCATGAAGAGATCGTTCATGTACTGGGCCGAGATGTACTGCATGGTCATGTACTCAGACAGCTATGGAGAAAGAAAAGCTTACATCTTTGTGAAAAACACACCACTCAAGAATACCCACAATTTCCATATGACTTAGTACCACCACAGACTGGCGCACATTGGAGGCGAACGCCAATTGGAACGACACCATCAAGATATCCTTAAGACTATGATTTGAGTCGGTGCAGGAAACATCCGTGTTGTCTGACGTGGCCCGGATGGAGTAGCGCACCTCTGAAAAGTCCAGATCATCCAAAGTCTAATTGGGAGTAGTGGATATTATTAATTAGATAGATATATAGTGGATATTATAGTGTTCTAGGGGCAAAGCCTCCTTACCATCGGCATCCTTGTATCCTTCATTTGGCGGTCAGGCAACACAAACCAAACGGTGTGCTGGCTGTTCGTTATAAACTCAAAGATGCGGCGGACCTGGTTGAAAAGGTTGAGCACGAATCTGCGCTCCTGGACCCACACTTTCTCGTTGACCTCGAGGTAGAGTTTACCCACTTGGCAGGTCAGGTCGTGAGGCTTCACAGCGGAGCGATCAAAGAGCTTAACAAAGTTTAAAAAGGGGCTGTCCGAGTCACTGGGAGACGAAGGTGGAGTCAGGTGCTGATGGTAATTCACAGAAAGGGTCAGATAAACTTACGTGAAGTGACTGGTGTCGTTCCGATCGCTGCGTATGACATTTAGCCAGTTGCCACCGTACTTCTCGTGGGCTTTCCCTAGAAAAGTTTGCGAGTGGTTGGGATTCACAAAGAACTGGTCTATAAAGTCTTTGACTGTCATCATCTCCAGCTCGCCCTCATCGATCTCCACAAAAACCTTGTCCAAGTAGGCTAGCTCATCAAAGCGCCTCTTTGCGTAAATCTGGATACTGTTCGATTGATGCGCCTTTCTGGCAGCCTCCCTCTGTCGGCGCTCTTTCCGTTCTTCCCGCTGTCTCATTCGCTCCAGTGCCTGCTGCGAGGTGCATGGATCCATTTCCAGATCGCTTTCCTCGTCCTCCTCAGCGGCAGCCTCGCCACCATTTGCACTCCCCTCGGGGATCATCTCGAAGCACAAGACGATCCAGCCATTTCCAGTTTTAAGGAAAGGCGCATTCTCCAAGTGTGCGTCGGCATAGATGTGAGAGGTCAACAGGAGAATGGCCTGGGCCACCGGAGTCACAGCTGGCTGGTCCTTTGGCGGAGCATAAAACGCGTTGTAGATGAGGACGTGCACGTTGTCGGACTTGGAGAAAGTCACGGTGACATTATCGCAGCCTAAGCACTCCCTGATGGTCAGCTAAAAAAGGCGTTTTAATAATTATTGGGTTAACTAATCGCAAAGAAACTCACAGAGGTAAGACTCAAGGTATGATTCGAGAACAACGACATTTTAAACAGCTCAAATTTAAGAGATTATAGAATTTGTAAGTATTTTTCACGAGAACTAACATGCGTTTTGCAGTGTTGCTAAGTGTTTTTTTCCAATCAAGCTCACAATCGAATAATCATCTCTGTTTCTATCGTCATCAATTTCAGTGTTGGAAAGGAAGCTTTTTTTGAATGTTACTGTTGTAAAATAATCTATTAGTTCTTGATTATTTAAGTCCCAAATCCCCCTGAAACCCTTCCATTACCCTGTTTTAGTCCCAAAATAAAAAATTCATGACCATTTGTTGGCTAGTCGGTCAGGTTAGATGGGAGACTACTAAAGGGAGTTGTGTTTAGTGTAACGCCTCCTCCACCCCGACTTTATTTTTCGTTCTTTTTCCCGGCTAACTTGAATTTATGAATCTGCAAGGAATCCAACATTATTATGAGCCGGGGGAAGTGAGCCATTAAATTGGCTCGGCCGGGCCAGCAGACTAGGTGCATAAAATTAGGATTAACGGCTTTCTAAGTGCCATCAAATCCCCGCCCCTACCACAAATTCCCAATTGTATGAGCAACAATTAGTCCGAAATTCGCCATAAAGTTCCGACGCTGTCCTTGTAGCGTACTTTTATTTTAAAAGCTAAAGTTTACTTAAAAAAATGAGGGAAGAACCGAAAAAAACAAAACAAAAATTGTGATTTTCTTTTAATTTTTATGGCAACGAAATTTTACGACCCGGCGAGCAGCAGAAGAAATGGAAAACATTTCCTTATCGCTGCCTTTTGATGATGCCCCTGGCAGAATTATAGCCGGCGAGGAAATCATTTGTATTCTCGCTGGCTGTCTTGCCAATTTTATGCTTCTTTGCATTTTTAATGATGATTGCCATTTTTGTAGCCCTTTGGTTATGTCTTTGGTAACTTTTGCCGGACCACACGTCACGTCATTTAATTGCAGTTTAATAACCCAACAAATGATCACCGAAATTCGACTATTCTGATTATTCTGATATGTGTGGTCGCTGGGAAAAAAATAAAAGAATAAAGTCAGAAGGTGGGGATTCTGTGGCAGCTCGTAAAGCCAACGAAATTATGGCAATTTAACGGACGACTGCGATCCACCCGAATAGCCTGCAATTAGATGCTAGCCTTGGGCCAAGTTTGGGATTCTCCTCCCAGTTTCCAGATACCAGATTCCCGATCCCAGATCCCAAAGACGAAGGGGTCCAGTCCGGTAGTCTTTGCAGCTTTATCGCTTACATAAATTTGCGCAGATAAACGCGCGAAAAAAGCGCAGACATGGCTCCATGTCCACACAAGATTCTCTTCCCCAACTCCGCCAGCTTCGGCATGTAAGCCAACTGCATCCCAATGTCCAGAAATTATAGCAATTTGCTTGTCAAATTGTTGCCGACTGGGCCAATAAATCCTGCGCTTTATGGGGCCGCACAGCGTCGCCAGGTGATCGCGATAGAGTTGTTTTAGAAATAAATTCGCCAAAAAGGCTCTTCGGACCTACTTGGCTCCGTTTAGTGGTTCGTAAACTTGTGAAATGTGCAATTTTCTTGGCCGGCTTTTACTTAGGCTGATGGCCTTCTTGTTTTTCAACATTTAATTTAATGAAGGCCATTGTGATGGATAGTGGGAGGCTGGAAAACGGGTGATTGAAATATTATTACAGCGATTGGCTCAATGTGGGTGGTAATTTGTTGTGATTATGGCTGGAATGATGATCGATACCCTTGGGCCTCGACGACGGGTATTCCCTGAATAATTCTAAACAGCCTGCAGTCTGCATTAACAAAGTAACCTTTTTCCTATTTAACCTTTAATGGGTTCTCCGAGAATTCCTCCCAAAAATGTAGCCATTTGCATTCACCAGCCAACTGGCTAGCCCTCCCCCCCTGCACTCTATTACCAATACAAATTCTGGCCATGCCTGGCATCTGCAATAACGAGCATTTTTATTGTCTCGCCGTTCGGGCCAATACCTGCACCTGCTGCTCCCGGGGCTACTGTGCTTGTGTCAATACCCTGTAACGCCGCGGATACGAGCGAATATCAACAGCAGCATGTGCTCAAGGCAGGGTAAGCCAGGAGGAGGGTATCTCTTGTTGTGGCTATTACTTTGTGGCAGCAGCTAGGAGCTTCAAGCTTCCGATGCTCTGTAATTCGAAATGTTTACGGTACATTTAATTTCATTTGGATTATTACAATATGCTTTAGGAGGCAACCATTTTGGCTCCTCCGCCACTCCATGCTCCATTTGCCAGGCCAGAACAATGAGCCATGAAGGAGGTGGCGGGCGCTTTCGGCCAGGTGTAGTGATGGCGGGCGGACATATTTCATTGTTGTTGCCAAAGTGTAATTGCGAATTCCAGACAAATGTGAAATTTGAATTTACAAGTTTAACTTTTCTTGTGGAATCATTTGTTTGGGCTGCTCCTTGGGGGGAGCAGGCTTCTCCTCGAGGCTGCCACCTCTTTTGTGTGTTTGTGTGACTCAAGTGTGCAGTTGGCAATTCTCGACTTAGTTCATTTGTTCCATTTCAACGCTTTCAGCCGGCCGGGGTCCGGGTGTGGCAGGGACTCTTACATCATGCCTGGTCCCACATAAACAAATGCTGTTTCTTCCTCCATTGCTTGGATTTCCACATGTCTTTCTTGCGATTGTTCCACGATTCCGGCTTGTTGTAGGTTCCTAGATCTAGGTCTGATAGAAATCTTAGGGTCTATCTGTTTCTACTTCCAGGATAAAATTTTTAAAATAATCTTTAAAAAAAAGACTATTAATTACCCCAATAAAAAGTCGACAAAAGGATCAAGACTTTCCATTTTCATAATTACATTTTAAGAGCATCGGACATTCGTTTTTATTCCCCCACCCTGAGTGGCAAACGTGTAAGGCTTAATCCGAGGTCCTGCTCGAGTTCCTGGAATGTTGCACCTCAAGCTGCCACCCGTCGAGTATCCTCCAAATGGCAAGGATACAGGAGAGTTGTACGGATTCAATAGGAATAGCACTCCGCCAAGCTCCTGCGTTGTTCCTCGTTCGGCATTCTTGTGTTTGGCTTTTGTACATTTGTCCGGCTTTTTGTTGGGTCCTGGCCCAGCTTTTTGGCCAGGCTTTTGTGTTTGAGCGTTGTGCCGAAAAAGTTGCATTTCACGTCTTGTTGGACTCGGACTTTTCACTGCCTTTGCTGGGGAGCTCCAATTTGGCCGTTGGCTCCGTTTCTTCATATTTTGTTTCCACCAAAGTGGTGCGTTCCGGCTTGCCTCATGAAACACATGGCCACGCCCCACAACCAACTCTGCCCACACACACACATACAGACACTCAGACACACGCACACAAACACAATTAGAGACTTGGTTTGTTGGTTCAACTTGTTTGCTTACATTCAACTTTATTTCACTTCTGCTGCGATGGTTTCTTTCAGCCACTCACTTGCCGCCCCCGCAACCCTTTTTTGGTCTCTGTGTGTGTAAAGTTTTTGGCCAACTTGCTCTTCTTCTTGGTCGTGGCATTGTGCTTTCCATAGAGGGGGGGCGGGGGTAGCGGTACAAGCAGAGAGGGGCTCGGAAGCGCCTTAACTTAATTCTGCAGGATTTCTATGCATTCCCGGACCAACAAGCGTTGGCATTCTATGTTTGCTTAAATGTTGTATAATTCACTGATTTCTCTGTGGTTTGTTGCCATTGTTGGATTTTTGTTGATGCTTCTGGCGAGTGTGTTTGTGATTACATTACGTATACGCACTGTGTTCGTTGGCGAGCTCCTGCCGGAACTTTGCGGCAAGTCCCCAAAAAATAGAATAATTAGGCAGAAGCGTTCTGAGGGAACTCCCAGTAATGAAAAACTTTATTAAATAATATTTAGTTGGAGATCCAAATGTGGGGGAAACTTTTCGAATAAAGCCAGAAGGGGAATAGTCTTCAATTTTTGACTTACCCTCCCTACTCCACAGATGTCTAATCTGTTCTTTTGTTTGCCACGTCCCTGTCCCTGGTCCTACCCACTTTCCATCCAGTAAATTGCAATAAAATAACCCAAAATACACGGCCCAGCCCAGGGCCAGACCCAATTTTATTCTCAGTCGGCTCCCCCTTGGAAACGGCGGGGCAGGGCACCGAACATGGGCCGAACATTGTAAATTGTTGTCCGAAAATTTATTGGCAGCACTTATCAGATTCACTCATAAATCTGCAAAAAGCCCGTCTCCAAAGCCAAGCTTCCTCCGAATGCGTGGGCGACTCTTGTGTGGGTGAAAGTGGCTCTCTGTGTGGATGGCTGGTGGGTGGCTGGGCTGGGCTGGGTGGTGGACTTGTGCGAGACATTTATTTGCATGCCTTTACCCGGGTATGGGATCTCTTTCGGTGCTCCACTTTGGGCGCACAATCCACAAATTAACATGACATTTTTACAAGCCGAACATGTGTACACATGGGCCCAAAAGTGAACCGAACCACTCGAAATTAATAGCCAGCAAAGCAGCAGCACCACCACTACGACCACTACTCCCAGAAATATCAACAGCAACAATAATAACAGCCAGTAAGCCGCACATTGGATGTGGCCCAAAATGGACAGCTGGACGGAGGGAGGCACATGCGTTTATGGACATGGTCGAAAAAGTCAAACATTTGAACAGCAGGCCGGGAGATCGAACAGGTTGCCATTTTATGCATCCATAAATTTAATTACTCAAAGCCGGGAAAAGTGCAAAACAAAAAGCCATTAGCCATCAGGTGGAAAATAGAGCACAGGTGAGCTGGACTAGCTGGATAGACTAACCATTCCGGGTAGTTTTAATTCAGCTTACTCTATTTTTTGTTCAAAAAAGGAATTATTTTCTTTGAGCTTGGAGTTATGACTCTCCTATTTCCGATAATTCCGACCAAGTGATGTGCACACTCAGTCGGGTTTTTTTTTGTCCTTCATTGACTCAAGTCGGACTTTATAAAAAGGACCTCAAAAACGGTAAACTGGAGCTATCTATGTAGACTATATATAGCCTTACACAGAGAGGAGGAAAATCATGACAAAACATTTGGCCAACGAGTTTTCATTTTCTTTGTTTCTTTTTTTTTGGAGCATCATTTTTTCGGTTCCACTTGAATGAAAACGAGAATGACGATGACGACGGGGACGACGTTGACGAGGACGATGACGATGATGAAGTTATCAGGCCGAAACAAGCCAAAAGCTGGCACAGTTTCAAAAAGTTGGCCCACATAGAGCAGCAGGGATCATGGAACCAGGAAACCCAGGTGGGGACCGGAGGGCGTGGCCAACAATCAGAAAGGCAGACCGCAAATTCTAAAACAGAGCACACACAAACTTTGCTGCGGCGCGCGAAAGAGACGGGCTGAGCAGTTCAGAAAGAGACAGGGCACTCTGCAGCCAAGGACTAAGAGGACATCAAACATTTTCGTCCAAGTGCGAACGAGCTTAGCTCGGATCTCAGTCAATAGCGAACAGGAACCAAGGATATAGCCATGGCTCTGTGAGAGCACGACAGCCACATGAACTTCAAGTTTTGACAAATGCAACAAACGACAAGTTAAAATTCATGTTCATTGTGGCTGCCACATGTTTTCCTTTTCTGAGGTCGAAACACAACATTTCTCGACGTCAACTAACTAACAGCAATGTAAATGGTAATTGACAGACAAGAGCTCAGCTCTAAAAAGATTCAAGTGCTGGGATTAACGGAAGCTGGACGTTCCTCAAGTTCAAAATTGGAACAATTTAATTGGCATCGTGGCAAAACCATTAAAGAGAAGTCCAATGGCTCTAAGTCTAATTTTATGGATGTCCCCCTTCAAAATGTCGAGAAATCCATGGGGAGCTCAATATGCCCCACACAGATAGCCATATCTCTGCCAATAATTATCAGATCCTTGAACGGAATACCTTAAACGATTTGTGGATCGATTCTGCATCCATCTCCATCAAAATCTGGAAACAAATTATTTTTTAGATTTTTTGTCAAAATTCTGGATGTCCCCCTTCAAAATCAATGGGAGCTCAATATGGCCCACATAGATAGCCATATCTCTGTTAATAATTATCAGATCCTTGAGCGGAATACCTTAAACGATTTGTGGATCGATTCTGCATCCATCTGCATTAAAATCTAGAAACAAATTATTTTTGAGATTTTTTGTCAAAATTTCTGGATATCCCCCTTCAAAACATCGAGAAATCTTAGGGGAGCTCAATATGGCGCAGACAGATAGCCGTATCTCTGCCAATTATTATCAGATCCTTATGCGGAATACCTTAAACGATTTGTGGATCGATTCTGCACCTATCTGCATCAAAATCTGGAAACAAATTATTTTTGAGATTTTTTGTCAAATTTTCTGGATGTCCCCCTACAAAATCTCGAGAGATCCATGGGGAGCACAATGGGCCCACACAGATAGCCATATCTCTGCCAATAGTTATCAGATCCCTGAGCGGAATACCTTAAACGATTTGTGGATCGATTCTGCACCTATCTGCATCAAAATCTAGAAACAAATTATTTTTTAGATTTTTTGTCAAAATTTCTGGATATCCCCCTTCAAAACATCGAGAAATCTTAGGGGAGCTCAATATGGCGCAGACAGATAGCCGTATCTCTGCCAATTATTATCAGATCCTTATGCGGAATACCTTAAACGATTTGTGGATCGATTCTGCACCTATCTGCATCAAAATCTGGAAACAAATTATTTTTGAGATTTTTTGTCAAATTTTCTGGATGTCCCCCTACAAAATCTCGAGAGATCCATGGGGAGCACAATGGGCCCACACAGATAGCCATATCTCTGCCAATAGTTATCAGATCCCTGAGCGGAATACCTTAAACGATTTGTGGATCGATTCTGCACCTATCTGCATCAAAATCTAGAAACAAATTATTTTTTAGATTTTTTGTCAAAATTTCTGGATATCCCCCTTCAAAACATCGAGAAATCTTAGGGGAGCTCAATATGGCGCAGACAGATAGCCGTATCTCTGCCAATTATTATCAGATCCTTATGCGGAATACCTTAAACGATTTGTGGATCGATTCTGCACCTATCTGCATCAAAATCTGGAAACAAATTATTTTTGAGATTTTTTGTCAAATTTTCTGGATGTCCTCCTCGAAATCTCGAGAAATCATAGGGGAGCACAATATGGCCCACACCGATAGCCATATCTCTGGCTAGATTTTTTGTCAAAATTTCTGGGGGCTCAATATGTTAAACTATGATACTATTTAAAGAAGTATTTGTATATTGGCTTTTCTCTAGCCAGCCCATCCACATCAGAAATGGAATTAAAACAATGAGGGACATGCAGCAGTTGTACCCGCAGATGGAAAGTGTTTGTGGCATCTCACCTGGCTGGATGAGTGACTGACTGACTTCCGTTTCGTTCCATTTTGGACAATAATATGACGTATGTTAGGGCCAACATGAAGTGAGCCCGCAAAATAATAAAATGGCTATAATAAATTTCTGTTTTGCGGAATATTTTCAGGAATTTTCGGGGATAGATTGTGTGTGTGCCTGCCAGGCAGGCTTTCGAGCGGAAATTGCACATTTTGCAGAAAGTTCTACCCCTCGGGGCCCTCGCAGGGTGTAGGGGCACGGGATGAGATGGAGTATAAAAGGAATTAGGAATGCAATTTGAGGTTATGTTGGCAATGTGCACCCGGGATGACTGTACCGACTATAGGCCTGCACTATAAAACAAATAAAATGCCAAATTCGGAAAGTTCTAACCCCTTGTTCTAAATCAGTCGTATTGGCTATTAAATTGGTTGGTTTAAATGGCCAATATTTGTCCATTTTATATGCATATGTGTCTTTTATGTTGTATAAGTGGCTAGGTATTTCTCCGAGTGCACCAGCTCATGCTGACCACATCTGTATGCGCATTTGTTTAGAGGAGCGACCGAAAGTGTGTGTGTGTGTGTGTTAGACAAACAGACAGTTGGACTGACACTTGGACAGATGTTGGGATACGTTCTGAGTCTAGAAGTTGGACCCAGCTATGGTCTGACAGCTGCACCCGGAAAGCCCTACGAGTGCCCCACCCCAGGGCCGGTACTGCACCCCCACAAAACCCTTGCCCAGATATTAATAGACGAAATTTTGAGTATTGCTTCCGTCATGAATAAAATTTTTGCACTCTATGGAGGAGGAGGGGTAGAACAGAGCTCCACTGCAGAGCACAAAGAGTACGATGTAAGGCTCCCCCGGAAAACTTTTGACAATCCTTCGTCCCCCTCCGGGCTTTCAGGGAAACTTCTCATCCTGAATTTACCACTCGCATTGTCCTGGCCTGCAGTTTCCTTGGCCAAAACTTTTCAAATTGTCCATTCAACGTCCATTCAGCTGTCTGTTTCTGTGGCTTAGTCCTTATTTTTATGCTCCCTTTTTTTGCTTTTCTTCTAATTTTAATGATGCTCTCTAAAAAATGTAAAACGCTTGCCACTGCCACTGCCACTGAGGGCCAGAAAGCAATTTCGGGTATGTGCATTTTATGGGCGCATCGGGACTATGGTCTCAATGGACGGAAACAATTGCCCTTTGGGGGCTTTCCAGATTAGTAGTCTTGAAAATATTTATATACCCTAGCCGAGGGTACCATAACTTTGGTAAAAAGTGTGCAACGCAATGAAGGAGACATCTCCGACCGTGAATCAAGAATACCTCCTGAGTAAAAAATCGGAAATTACAGAACTTTCGTGATTTTAAAGATTGAAAGTTTCGAATATTTTGAAGATAAAATTGTGAAATTGAATGTGTTTTTTTTTTTTTTTGGGCACTAAGTGAGCCCTGAAGGTAGGGTCATTCAAAAACTAAGCTCCTGATAGAAAACGCCTGTAAAATTCAATTTTAAACGCAGACCTCACAGCGATTGCACCTTCTAGGAAACTCTTTTTGTAAGTATTTGAAAATAAGTCCTCCCCTCCAGAAAAATAGTTTATTTTGTATTATTTTAATATATTTCAATATTTCCAACGCAAAGCTAAAAAAAACATGGAGAACAACCAAGATGATCCTATGGAGCCACAGGCATCCGGACAAGGGACAGAAGGCAATAAGGATGGGGACGACAAGTCGGAGAACTCGTCTCAGGTTGCAGGTGGAGCTCCTCCCAAGCGTTTCGAGGTCAAGAAGTGGAACGCAGTGGCCCTGTGGGCCTGGGACATCGTCGTCGATAACTGCGCGATCTGCAGGAATCATATTATGGAGCTATGCATTGAGTGTCAGGCCAACAGTGGACCGATACCCTACGACGGGTGCACAGTGGCATGGGGAACGTGCAACCATGCTTTCCACTTCCACTGCATCTCGCGTTGGCTGAAGACGCGCCAGGTTTGTCCATTGGACAACAGCCAGTGGGAGTTCCAGAAGTATGGCCACTAAACTGCATCTGCAGAGCACTCCCGGTGAAAGTTTTGGCATCAAAATATCAATATGTACATTATACAGTTTATAATGAAGTTTTGACCGTTTTTCCACAATTTATACTATTATTTTTTCTTGTTGTTTGGAGTAGATTTTTCTTTTGAAGAGTTTTCTGCAAGATTTCTAGAAGTTTCCATGTACTTCTAAAATGTGGTCTTTTTGTTTTTGTAGAAAAAAATGGAGATTTTTAAATTTAAGTGTAACCAGAGGCAGAACAAAATGGAAGCTTTTTATGCCATTGCATACGGTATTATTAATTTGCTCAAAAGTGCGCAACGGAGTGAAGAAGACATCTTCGACCCCACGAAGTGTATATATTCTTGATCAGGCAGGATACAATAATATACATACTAGTTCTAAGCCTACAGAGTCATTTAAACAAATGTGTAACCTATCCATTTCCATGAAACATAACCTTTGTGTTATGTAAAGAATAAAGTCAAATCTTTTTTTTAGGCACTAAGTGAGTTTTGAAGGTAGGGTCACTCAAAAACTAAGCCCCTGACAGGAAACGCGTGTAACATTCCATTTCGAACGCAGACCTCACAACGACTGCACCTTCTAGGAATCTTTCTTTAGTAAGTATTTGAATAAAATTTTAAAACCAAAAAAACTTTCCTTTCAGATAAATAGTTTATTATTTTATTTTATTTTATTTTCAAACATTTAACTCAAAGCGAAACCCCCGGATCTCAACGCAAACCTAAAAAAATGGAGAACAACCAAGATGACCCTATGGAGCCGCAGGCATCCGGACAAGGGACAGGAGGCGACAAGAAAGATGGGGACGACAAGCCGGGGACCTCGTCCCAGGCTGCAGGTGGAGCTCCTCCTAAGCGTTTCGAGGTCAAGAAGTGGAACGCAGTGGCTTTGTGGGCCTGGGACATCGTCGTCGATAACTGCGCGATCTGCAGGAATCATATTATGGAGCTATGCATTGAGTGCCAGGCCACTAACGGACCAATACCCTTTGACGGGTGCACACTGGCATGGGGAGCGTGCAACCATGCGTTCCACTTCCACTGCATCACTCGTTGGCTGAAGACGCGCCAAGTTTGTCCCTTAGACAACAGCCATTGGGAGTTCCAGAAGTATGGCCACTGAATCTGCAATGCACTACCGGTGGACATTTTTTTTCTCAAAATATCATTGTAACATTATGAAGTTTCTAATGAAGTTTTGACCGTTTATCTACAATTATTACTTTTGTTTTATTTTATCTTATTGTTTGGGGTAGATTTTTCTTGGGAAGAAAAATGTTCCTTTTTCAAAATTCCTTGAAGTTTCCACGTGCTTCCCATGTGCTATGTGGGCTTTTTGTTTTTGCAGAAAAAAAAAGATGGAGATTGTAGTGTAACCAAAGGCAGGAGGATGCTTTTTATACCTTTGCAGACGATATTATAATTTAAATATTATAAAATATATTATAGGATATGTATATACATATTCTTAATCAGGATTCAATAACGTTCTATTTCTAAGCCAACTGAGTCATTGAATCAGTCAACATAGAGAATATTTCGACACTAAAAGTTACACTACAAAAATTTAGAGAAACGCACTGAATCCCAACCAGTTTAAGGCCAAAACCCACAAAATGAAATGCGGTTACACGAAAACTTTGCTGAATCAACTACTAAAAGATTTATGGTATCAAAATAGTGCCACATAAAATATTCACACCTTGGCACCGCTGCCCGAATCTAACGACTCCAGCGGGGCAGAGATGTGGTGGCTAGGGGGATACACCCAACTGATGCCTTTGGCCCGATAAAGCCATTGTTTATGCCATGTGGCTGTATGGTTGTATGGCTGCGTGGCTGTTTGGACTGCATTTTGGCTATAAGTTGGCAGCATTTTTTATGCGTTCATCATGCGGTCAGCATAAATTTTTCATCGCCAATCCGTTATGGCCAGCTTTTCCTTTGCCTCAATTTTCTTTTAACCATCTGCCCCCCCTCTGGCCACCTCCCTTTGGCAGACATGTTGCCAATTTTGAAGTCTGACGGCCATAAATCAAGACCTTAAAGTGGACAGAGTTGATTCTTTTAGCCAAAACAAAAGCATTTATTTCACACAAAAAAAAAGTACAGTAATATTTTCCATTAACTTGTCTTGGTTGTGTGTGTGTGTGTGTGTGTGTGTACGTTTGTGTGTATGCTTGCGAAGGGGAAGATTAAAACCTGTGTGTGGAGTATGCAGTGCGTGTGTGCGTGTGTGGAGTATGCAGTGCGTGTGTGCGTGTGTTGTGTGTGTTGTGTGTGTTGTGTGTGAGTAATGCGAGTCTTAGGGGGTTTGCTTGCAAGTGTTGGTCGACATCATCCAAAAATCATGGCATTTTGGGGAAAATTCGGGTAAAATTAACAAAGGTGATAAGCTTGAAAGTCCAGAGGTCATCAACGCCAATGTGGGACCTTGCTAACCGATTTTCCTGTGGTCAGAGAAAGTACTTCATTAGATTTCACTTCAAATGCTTAGATCTATAATGCTCACCACAGTTAAATGATTGATTGCTCTTACTATACTTGGAGTCGTTCATGGAGGGCGAACTGTGGATTAGGAAGTGTAAGGATCGCTAATGAGGACATGGTTAGGCTGAAGGCTCGAGGATCTCCCGCACCCCGGGCAGTACTTACTTCAGTCCGTTCCTCAGCTCGCGCTGGAAGCTCATGTTGTTGGAGGCCATCTCGTAGGAGCTCTTCATCCGGGGGTTTTGCTGCTGCTGCTGATGCTGCTGCTGCTGGTGGTGGTGCTGATGCTGCAGGTGTGGGGCAGCCTGGTGCTGCACCTGCTGGGACTGCTGGTGTTGTTGATGCTGCTGCTGGTTATGGTGGTTGTGGTGTGCCCCTTGGTGGCCATACTGCTGCGACTGTTGGGGCTGCTGCATGTAGTGGCCATACTGCCACATGCCGCCATTGGACATCTGGGGACTGGAAGCGGGCATGCCGCCCTGGTTCCAGTTGCCCGCCTGGGATGGCGACGATTGGACAGAGCTCATCGGACTGGCCCCGCCAGTCAGGCGGCCCTGATGCATCTGGCTCATGTGGCCCGAGTTGTGGTACTGCTGCATCGGCTGCCCCATCTGTCCCATCTGGTTGCCCATTTGCGCCACCTGGTTACCCATTTGGCCCATCTGATTCACCTGCCCCATGGAGGACATGGGCTGCAGGTCCGGAATGACGGCGTTCATGCCCGGGGCATCGATGGAGCCCATCGGATTGCCCAGGTTCATGGGCATCATCGTCATGCTGCTCAACGGCGTCACCGCCCCGATCGGCAGCTGGGACGACATGGTGGACATGGGCATGCCCAACGGCATGCCGGGCATGGGGTAGGAGGGCATTTGTTGCGGCGGCGCCATTCCGGGCATCTGCAGGTTCATCGAGGGCGGGTTCAGCGGCTGCCCGGCATGACCCTGGCCCGGGTTCATGCCCATGGCCGGGAACTGGGACATGTTCTTCAACTGCCAGTTGAAAATTAACGAAACTAAGCACTATCCTGCAGCTAAACTTACCTTTCCATCGGCATACATGCCGTAGTCGGCCTCGTAAGGTACCGAGCAAAAATTCATTGTCGAATAACTGGGAAAATTCGTTGGACTCGGAAAGTGTTTGAAAATTTATTTAACTGAGAATTTTGTTTACTATTTTTAACTGTGAATTTTGATAATTTATTTCCAATTTTTTTTTATTTTTTTAATTTTCTATTTTTACCAATAGATCTGTTCAAGACGGTTTACTGACTACGAATGAGGGCTCTAGGGCCTGGCAGTCTCCCAGCTAGGCCGACAGCCTCCTACGATCATGAAAAATTTGATAAAAGTTTGAGGAATTGTATATCTGGAAACTATATTCCATCAAGTAGTCGTTTTAAAACTTAAGCCCTGGTCGTTCCCCATACCAGGGATTATTTTAAGACCTGAAACTAGTTGCTTATCCCCTTGGGCATTTCGTGATCGGCTATAAAGCCACGCCCCTCCCACAACATTAAGGCTGCCAGCTTGTCCAGGACAATTAATTTTCCCCCGACTTGTCAGCTTATTGTTTATCTACATAAATACGGGACACGAAGACCGGAGCCAGGAGACAGGGCCATAGCATAGTCCTGGGCTGTCGTGTCATTTATTCTGCGGCAGCTATGTCCCGTCTATCCCCTCTGGCCCGGCTTTTCCGACTTTCCGATATCCTTTGGCCATGGCGGTGCAGTTGCCACACCATTTATGCCATTAAGTCATTAGCTTTGTTTAACAAATAACAAACTGTCAATGAGTTGATTAACGATGTTTTTCGCATGAACTGCAATTAGTCGAAGCCACCGTCGCCGTTCTCCTGACAAATGGGTGTGATTTCGCTCCCGGCGGTGTTTCAGTATCCCAGCTGGCAGTTGGCGGGAGATGGCAGGAGCTGGGTGTCAACCACTTGTTATTGATGCGCCCCCAAGTCGCTGTCACTCGGCAATTATTGTGTATATTGTGCTTCTCCATAGTCATAGTCATAGTCATAGTCATAGACATAGTCATGGAGTAGTCACACTCGTCATCGATGACAGGAGCAGGATCAGGATGGAGCGCAGGAGTAGACGCCAACGCAATTATACCCGTTGACAAGTGTAATGTCAGCCAACTCATTGGCATCTCCTTCTGGCAAGTGGCAAGTGGCAAGCCCCTCCAGGCCGTCAGTCGCCTGATGTTCTTCCAGCAGCTCCTGCTAGTCCTCCTGTTTCTGTTGTCGACGTGACGCGCTTCATCACTCACTCACTCGCCGGAAAGCCCGCTCCCCAGTTGCCCACTTATCCATCTATCCAGAGGTAGCTCCCATCCTCCCAGTATTTTTATTTCCCTTCACAGGAGCTAACCACACAATAGATGAGGCTTTGAAATTATGTTTAATTGTAATGGTTCCGTGTTTAATATTTAAAAATAATATAGAGATATTATAGAGGAGAAATATAATTTCCAACATCCCCCCGTGAGCTTTGCGAACCGCTCCTGTTTGCAAATATTTACACTGTAATTATTATGCAAAATGCAATCGACTCCATTATTTACGATATTGTTAAACTCCGTGAGCAGAGTGGCAACTAGGTTGAACCGCATTGGGGGACTCTTTCGATACATTTGCATTGTAGATTGTTAATGGAACGAGTACATTGCTAATTCCATATTTCTATGCATACCCTATATAGGGGGAATATACATAAATATGTATATATTTGTAATCTGACTACAACAGTGTTTAAATGGGTTTGTATGCGGTCGCTAATTGCCTTTGCCAGAAAGTTAATTACGGCGAAATTTGAAAATTTCCAAAATTGGACTTGTCAAAAACATTTTGACATTTCCCCTCGCGTCACTCCGCTCCACGCCGCCGCTCGTCACTACCGCCCGGGAGGAAATTAGTTTTACAAACTTTTGCGTTTTGCGTTTTCGCATTTAGCAGTGTTTTGTTTTTCCAGTTGACTTTTAACTAAAAGTTGGCATTCATTGTTCGGTTTCGACCCTCATTACACGGCCTTATCATTATGACCATTAGCAGTCGAATATGAAAAGTGGATGACGGGTCAGAGCCATTCATCAAACGGAGTGTTGATGGCCATTTGGTCTAGTTTGCAGACCAGGCCTAATTAAGTGCCACGGATGCGTGTGCTAATGAGCGAAAAAAAACACAGAATTATTAATATTATGGGCAATAATAATTGTGAAATATCATTTCGCAAATTTGATTTGATTTTGGCTGCCATCCTAGTGCGAAATTAGAGCGCCGCTGGCTGGTGCGCTGGAAACAGAAAACGAGAATGAAAATGCACTACTTTTTAGCGCTACATGGGCCCGGGTAATCACCAGAATGTTTCAAGATAATGAGCTCCTTGGGGGCGAACGGAGGTGTTTTTACCAGGACTACTCATTAGATATGCAAGCCGAGCCAAAGTCTTTGATTTAACACCTAAAAGTGGAGCTGTGCTGGAGCAACAAAGGCCTCATTAATTAGGAATGTTAAGATGATGAAAACTAATCTGCTAAAAGCACACTCTCGCTGCTTTTGCTGTTCCAGCTTCTTTAGCTTAAGTTTCTGGATCCTTTGGATGAGTCATTTGTCTGCCAGGATCCATGATGGGGCGAGGCAACGAGGCAAGGGGGGCCAATATTGTTTGGCACCGGTTCACATGGTCTTAATGCACTTGGAAGCCATGGCTTCACCTTCGACAATGTTGCAGGATAAGCACAGACTGCAAAACACTGGCAACAAACTAGCCGAGGACGGTACCCGGTAGCGGTAGCGAAGGATACACAAGCCATGAGCCAAGGACGTCAAACTGGAATCTCTGCAAATCACAAAATTGAAAAAATCGAGAACACAGGCAACCAGCCAGGCATCCAGCCAGCCAGCCAGCCCGCCCAAGCCCAAGTGCCAAGTGAAGTAGAAGACGGCATCAGAATCGAGTCCTCCATTAGAGTTGGCCATAAAATAAGCAACTTGTATTGGTAGCTGCAGTTCCGCCAGTGGCCCCCCTACACAGGGAGAAATCCGAATCCCGATCCTTTTACGGAAATGAATGATTAAGTCACCTTTTTTCGCAGTGCACTCGTAAGCTCATGATGCCCCAATGCATGACGCTTGGCTGAGTGCAAATTCAATTAACTTGTTACAACACAAGCTCAGGATCAGCTTTAGCATCAGGAATCTGCCCAGACGGGATTGGGTTTGGAATTTGTATCTGTATCTGCCGATACTGGTACACTCGTAGTGTGTGTACTGTACAGTGCAGCCGCCTTCTTGGCCTGTCCTTCGCCGACTTTTGTTTATTCTATTTAGAATTTTAATTCCAATCAAATTGGTTTTTGCGGTGCGCGCTGAGTACAAACACTATGATTCGATTCGAAGCTCCTCGGGTTGCAAATGCATTTTTCCCCAAATCAATTAATAAAAGATTCAAAGGCAAATATCCATAACTGATTGACATTTCCATTTGGACGGAAGAGCGAAGAGCATAGCCATGAATTTCTTAACAACTTTGAATTGAAATTAATAATCAAATGTCAATTACTTGCAGGATTAAAAGAAACTTGTTTGTATTTAGAGAAAGTTGGGGTTAGAAATGGTGGAAAAGTAGGATGAGATTATATTTTTGTGACATAAATTTTGTAAAAATTGGTTAAAATTTAACCAAAGTTACGACAATACCTTGAAAACCCTCCCTTAGAGAAATTCGCCTCATAATTTATGACCTCTTCCATTATGAATTCATTAGCACCTGAGGGCTAAAAAACGCAAAAGGGGATTTTAAAAACAAGTCTCCCTCCCACCGCAACAAGCTCACAAAAACCAAAAAAAAGGGAGAAAGCTCACTGAATGTCAATAAGTTCAGAATTAAGGCCAGAAAGCTCAGAAAAAGTAGCCCTGACAGAGACCTTTGAACCTTGTGCCCTTTAAAGGGGCTCAACTTCAGTTTAGGGGATTCCAGGATTTTTTATTTCCATTTCACATATATTTGCATATCACGATTTGTTATACTAAACCAACAAGATTTTTCTTGAAACAGAGACTGCTTGACGGGGAAGACTGCCACTCGTGGCACGTGCTACTCTCCCGATTTGGCCGCCTCCGAATCGATGGTGGCTGCTGGCCTGGACATGGCCAAAACGGATAACCAATGCACGTCCGCCAGCTGCAGTCCCCACTGGCTGCATTTGCAATTAGATGGCCAGTATGGCAAGGATGTTGCCTCCCCCGAGGATTCGAATGCTTGCAGAGATTTTGCGGCGCTAAACAGCTAAATGGCCGTGACAGCTGCCATCGAATTTCTCCATTTCTGCTTTCATTTGGAGTCCTGCGACATTTTATGACGTCTGCTAGGTAAACTACCAGCAGGGCAGTCTTTTCTGAGTCCTTGGCTGGTGTCACCTTAAAGGCGTTGCCGGCAAATCAACGTCACGTCCGCCGATCCGAGGCGTCCATAAAAAGTGTCTCCCTGCCGCCCCTGCCTGTCTGCCTGTTTTTCTCAATTTCTCGATGGCCACTCTGCTCCTTTTCTCCATTTCTCAGATTCTCTGCTCCGCACGAGTTGAGGAATAGTTTTGCTGACTGCTGCAGAAGTAGAGCCATTCCTCCCGGGCCTCGCAGCCGGACGAGATGTGTGCTCAGGTCCGACTACGTGTCCTGATCTGCTTACAAGTTCGAGTGGTTGAAACATTTTACTGCGGGCAAGGTCACGGGGGGTCAGTGAATGGGGCGGCCAAATCAGTACATGGCCAGTTTATTTGCCGCAGTTGACAAATTGATATGAATTGGCTGAGAAATCTGTTGCAAGGACTCGCAGCCAGTCAAGTTCTATTTTGTCAGTAGGTTTAAGAAATTTAATTTGAAAGGTTTGCATCATAAAATGTTCGGGATGTCAGTTAAAAATGTGTTTAATCTTACCTTTTCCTCTAGTTAGTTTAATTAGCTTACAGTTAGTTACAATAAAGCCTTACCTTTCGGCACTTTAAATGCCATTTTCCGATGCTTTGCTTTGTACATCCGTTTGAACTTTAAATGCATGATGCATCGACTCATTCGATAAGTCAGAGTTCGGCATTTGTTGGCCCCCCGAGGCCCACGTTCCATGTATTTTTCCGCCTGCTAATGTCGTTGCACATTTAAGTACACGTGTCCATCATGTGTGTATCCACTCCGGAG